GTTTTCTTTATAAGTCCAAGTCCTTATTATGCTAATTATGCTTTTTAATACTGTACTGCCCATAATTACATATGGGTAGTATATATACATAATTACATGTAATAAAAAGAATTTCAAATTATCAGATACATAAACCTTATCTAAATTTTCTATTGCTTACCTTAGGATTGATTGATTGACATTTCTTGTTACCGTAATTTTATTGACTTTTCAAATGAAATGCAACTTAAAATGGAAGGTGGTTTTGTTGATTTTTTTTTTTCCCTCAAATTTTGGCATTAAGTTGTGTCAGTATGTTTAAGACTTAAGTAGTAATTGAGTTTTATAATATCCAAGAAGTATCTTTTGGTTTTCTATTATGAAAAACGAAAAAGATGCTTCACATGGTAATTTATCTGGTTTCATTTTCAAAATAAGTATTTTTGTAAAGTAAAGCATTTGATATTTATATCTTAACATTAACCTATGTTTGTTATTTTTAATTTTGACATTGGTAACATGCTTAAATGGCCTAGCTTAGACTCGGATACATCAGGCAGTAAGGAAACAGAACTTCGTTCTCAGATTTTCGCAGCATATGACAGTAGCCAAGGTTGTCATTTTTGCGGTCCACATTTTTAAATTTTAAGACAAATCTTAAGACGCGGGTTTTCTGATTGCCTCAGACAAGTACATGCTTTGTATTTATTGTAATTATTGCAATGAACTACTGACACTTGAAATAGTATAGACAAAAGTTTTTAAGGAAAAATGTTTGAGTATTTATACCACAGTGTGTTCAGTAGAGTTGTGTCTCAAATAAATTTGACTATTTTGATTATAAATATTTCTTCTATAAACCAGTGATGAGACATCAGTCTTTAGTTCTTCTGAAAAGTTAGATAGCAACTCTATGAAAGAGAGGTAGCATGTGACTTAAAATGAGATCTAATTGGGTTTCAGTCAACATTACCAGACATCACTGAACATAAAATTGCTCAATGTGACATTTGTTCATATATATTCATCCTCTTCTGCAAGAGACCTGGGTAATGAAGTGTGTATTTGACTGTTGATTGCCAGTTGGACAGGCTCCAAAGACAAGGAGGCATTTGTCCCTGTGCAGATGCTGGCAGGGTTCACTTTTCTCTCTCCTGCTGTCAAAGACCATTTTATTTTCACAAAGATTTGTTTGTATCTGTCCTGTACTATGGAATGTGAATAATACACCAGTAATGCATGGAGGAGGTTTTTGTTGTACTTTTTTACATAACAAATTTATATATTTCCACATTATTTTTAATGCTTTCATGTTTATGTTCTGGGCTTTAGACATGAATAATTCTGGGAAACTCAAGATTTTCATAATCATTTTGTCAGGATTTTCAAGGTCGTGGATGTTTTTGGGAGGAAAAGTTGAAAATAGTATATGTTAGCCAATAGTTTTTGCACTTCACATTGGATCTGAGCAGGCTGTCACTCCTCCAGTGCCCAAAGAGAGAAAAGTTCTCAAGTACCAGATATCAAAGTACTTCCTTTCATTGCTAAAGAATCCACAGTATCCACAGTATTGGGGGCTTGAGAGATGGTATGGGGGTTAGGGCACTTGCCTTGCTTGCAGCCAAATCCAGTTTGATCTCTGGAACCCCTGAGAGTGACCTAAGGACAGAACTGAGAGGCCCCCTGAGGACTGCTGGTATGACCCAAATCCTTCCCCACTCCCCCACCCCCAAAAGAATCTGTTGTATTGTCCTAAACTAAAATTAATGTTGAAAAGCTATGTGAATGCCTATGAATGGACCTAGAAGTTGGGGGTGTACACACACACACACACACACACACACACACACACACACACACACACAAATACTATGTATATCTAAGAGCAAAATCACTCAACTTTCTGCAATATAGAAAAAAATAGAGGAGATCATGCTGAGTGAAGTTTGTCAGAAGAAAAGGGATGGATAGAGAATGATCTCTCATAATGCATGACTTAAAAGGATGCACAGCTAGCGAGCAACCAGGGTCAAAAACAGGACCACAGGAGAACTGATCCACACAGTTGAGTATTTGGCAGGGTAAGGGCTTTGGGATCCTTGAGTGAGTGAGGTGTGTATACTCTTTATGGGGATAGTGTTGGAATGATTCACACAGGATACCAAATATTTAACCTAATATTTAGGAGTGATACTTTAAAAGAAGCCACAAATTATTAGTGTTTAGTGTGAAATATTAAATACCCTTTCTTGAAAATGAAAAAAAAAACAAAATTAATGCATTTACCATATTTAGTGACCCTTTGATCTTAAATTTTTACTTTGTTTTTGTAACTATAATTTTATATATATGTACATATGTAAGGGCTGGAGTGATAGCACAGCGGGTAGGGCATTTGCCTTGCATGCAGCCAACATGGCTGACCCGAGTTCGATTCCTCCGCCCCTCTCGGAGAGCCCGGCAAGCTACCAAGAGTATCTCGCCTGCACAGCAGAGCCTGGCAAGCTACCCATGATGTATTTGATATGCCAAACACAGTAACAACAAAGTCTCACACTGGAGACGTTACTGGGCCCACTCGAGAAAATCGATGAACAATGGGAGGACAGTGACAGTGACAGTACATATGTTACGTATTCATAGGATGTATGTATTAGAACAATGTGCATTTGTAGAGTTGAAAGATAGTATAAATGTAAATAGGTAATTATGAATAAAGTTTAATTCTAAAAATCTTGTTCTAAAGTCAAGGATATATATTCTTTTTTTTTTCAATTTTTATAATTTTATTTATTGAATCACCGTGAGAGCAGTTACAAAGCTTTCGGGTCTAAGTCTCGGTCATACAATGAAACACGCATACCTTCACCACTGCCCATTCTCCACCACCAAAAACCCCAGTATACCCCCATCGACACCATCCCCCTACCTGTGGGGCAGATGATTTCCACATTATTCTCTCTCTACTTTGATCACATTCAATATTTTGACACCAGACCCACCATTATTATTTGAGATTTTACTCCAACACTCAGATCTGCTGAAAAGGCAACAGTAGACAATTTGTGTTCTGTTGCTGGTTATGAATAACATATGATGTCGCGTGGCTGCAGTAGGGTCATGTGATTTTGAAATTCCGAAATTTTAACACTTAAATCTGCAGGGATTTCTGCCAAAAGCCACTGGGTTTTGAGATTTGCTCCTGAGTCTCTGGGATCATGGCCGTTGGCAGCTTGATCAGGAGTCAGAGAGGCCGTTCGTGGGCCACGACTTGGGGTCTCATTGGGACGGGAGGACAGGCCCGGCTCGCGCCCTCCCCACCCCCCAGGGATATATATTCTTAAGGATATTTTACAGAGCTCAGGGTTAGATTAATGCTATTAAGGAGCCCAAGATAAAGAACCTCATCTTTGTCTGTTTTAATGTATGAGGATGTTCAGCTTTCAGCAGTAGAAGTAGGACGCATTTATATTCTGTAGTGTTTCATTTCCCATGAAATCTAAATATCACTTCATAGGTTTTTTTTTTTATTAAAGGATAGGCGCTGGTTTTTTAAACATACTTCTGGTCACATGTTCTTCCAAAAGTTGTTTGAAGCATTAAGACCCATCCTTTTCTACCCCTGTTTATATTGGAGGGTGACATTTTAGCACTGGAAAGTAGACGAAATAAGATGGAGAGAACATTATAGGTACGGAATGCTTTCATAATAGGATTGGAAAGCTGCAAACAAACAAAAACAGTGGGGTTTGGGGTGGGAGATTTAGGATGATAATACTCCTGCTTTAAAATCCACTAGTCTAGGAGAATAGATAATTTTTAAAGTGAGCCAAGTTGCACAGAAAATGTGGTAGTGGAGAAAGGGAAGGAAGACACTCCATTAGTGTCTTAGTGGTGGAAGGTAAGAACTTAGAGGTACTTGGAGTTGAGTTTGCTTTGTTTAGACTATTCCTTAGCAGTCTTTGGGTGTTGGTTGGTAAAGACACTAACCAAGCACCCTCTGAATTTTACCCTTAACTTGCTTCTAGAGTGCGTAAATCTTAATTGTTTCCTTAGGACCTGCACTACTTTGTGGTAAGTAACCCTGATAAAATAAATAAGCACAAGTGTGCTGTCTTTCCAAAACACAAGCCCGTGACTGAAGAGAGACTTGATTGAGTTCATTCTGAGCACCAACATAGCATACATCGTTTCTGGTGCTTATTAAATGCTTACTGGCAAGAAGCATGCCTTGCTGTCCATTTGAAAGAAAGAATTGGTTGATTATACTTTAAACAAGTCAGAGATTAGGAGAGACGTGCATATTTAGAGATTGGGTAATAAAGAATGTGCTGCCAGGTGTTTTGTTGATCAAGTTGAGATTTCTGGTAGCAGAACTAGTCATTCTATTTTCGTTTTAGAAAAAGAATGATTTCATATGAAGTTCTTTATGTTTTAAAAAAAGAGGCCCATAGTAATGAAAGGAATTAGAAAAGAAAGCAAATGTAGCAGTACAGAAATGTTGAATACTGTGAAAAATTCTAATCTCATGCCTAGAAGCAATCTCTGGGAGGGTGTGTGATAAACCAAATGCATCTTCCTCATTCAATCCAAGTAATATTAAGATTTTTTTTTAAGTAAAACATTTTATTTGGAGGCTTTAAAGGGAAGGAAGAAGAGAAAGTGGGAGAGCGTGGAGATTATTGTGCACAAGAGAGAACCCGGTCTTCTCCAAGAGCAGAGAGACCCCCTACACACACCCCAGCATTAGACAGGAAAGCATGAAAGTACACATCTCAAGAGGGGAGATGCGGGCGACCCATGGGCTTGGGCAGCCTATGTGCTTGGTGAGTGATAGTACAGCGGGTAGGGCGTTTGCCTGGCATGCAGCCGACCTGGGTTCAATTCCTGGCCTCCTATATGCTCCCCCACGCATCGCCAGGAGTAATTCCTGAGTACAGAGCCAGTAATAACTCCTGAGCATCGCTGGGTGTGACCCCAAAAGCAAAAATAAACCAATAAATAAGATCATTCTTTTGTAGAGTTTTCCATCTGATGAAGGCTGGCCATTTGCAAAGTATCTCGGAGCCTGTGGGAGAATGGTGGCCGTGAATTATGTTGGAGAGGAACTTTGGAGTTACTTCAATGCACCTTGGGAGAAAAGGGTTGACCTGGCCTGGCAGTTAATGGAAATAGCGGAGCAGCTCACGAATAATGACTTTGAATTCGCACTCTACCTCTTGGATGTCAGCTTTGACAACTTCGCAGTTGGTCCTCGAGACGGGAAGGTCATCATTGTGGATGCCGAAAATGTCCTGGTCGCTGACAAAAGGTTAATTAGACAAAGTAAGTATACAACTTTCCCGTTTGTTTTCTGTACACTTTTTATGTCAAAATAATGTTTGCACGTATAGGAAGCAGGACACTTCATTTTTCTTCCGGGCTGGTAACCTAGCACCTTTCTTTGCTCTATCTGCCCAGTATCCATAAATAAATACCTTTGTATTACTAAGTGTTAGAGGTTTGTTTCTTTTGTTAACTTTTCATTAAAAACTGCTGCTTCCTTCATTGCATTTCCCGCCAAAGTTTTAATAGCACTTATTTCTCGATGCCTTTTTATTTCATACACTGGATTGGAAGCCAGTGAAGGCAGGAACTATATGTTGTCTGTTTTGTGTACCATTGGCATGCTGTAGCCGTACCTTGTCATTTAAATTACATTGACAAGTAATTAATGTACTGAATGGACCCTGCCACTCACCTCCTCTGCCAGTCTCTTTAGTTTCAGAGCTTTGCCCCCTGTCTGTTTGGTGTCCTCTGCGTTAGGGACTTTCCACTACAGATCACGTTTTCTCTTAACGCCATCAGGCATGCAGATGCTGAAGGGCTGGAGTCTGTGTGCTGTCCCTCAGCCACTGGCTTGAAATCTGTTTCTGGTTTCCTGCAGGGTCTGGCATCTTAGGCTGGGGCATGACCGCGTGTGATGCCCCATAACTGAACGTGGGCATCTTGAAAAGCTAGGGAATAGTTTCTGAGCGTAAAACAACCAAAAAAAATGATTTGGTAAGATTTTATTGTAAGCACCTTGACTTACAGTACTGTTGATGGTAGGGTTTCCTGCGTAAAACAGTCCAACCCATTGTCCCCGTGTCCCCCCACCCCTCTGTGAACAGCCCCTGAGCCCGGATGTTTCTTGCAGTACTCACCCACTCCGCATTTCTCAGCAAACAGGCAGTGAAAGGGCTGTGTTGCCAGTGGAAGGAGTTGAGGAAGTTCTGATCTTGGGCGTGCCTGCCTGCCCACCATAGTTCCCGTTGTGTTTACTGGATTTACTTCTAAAATCGAGCAGTTATATTCAGAGTGTCTACCTGTTGTCCAGTTAGAACCCTCACATAATTCCTCCATTTTCTCTGTTGACCTCGTCTCTCCCTCCAGGCCAGGTGCTGGTCTCATACTTCAGCCACAGTGAACTTCTCTTTGTTTCCAGAACCACTTGACCTGTCCCTCGATACTTTGCATATAGTCGAGTATTTGCATATATGCCCTGGGCACAAAACACTCTTCTTTCCTCTTTTTTTTCTGACTTGTTTATCTTTCTATAGCCTGATCAGGGGCTGGAGCAGTAGCACAGCCGGTAGGGCGTTTACCTTGCATGTGGCCAACACGTGGCTGACCTGGGTTTGATTCCCAGGATCCCATATGGTTCCCCTGAGCACTGCCAGGGGTGATTCCTGAGTGCAAAACCAGAAGTAACCCCTGTGCATCGCCAGGTGTGACCCCAAAAGAAAAAAAAAAGGCTGATCAGGTATTTTTTCCTCTGTGACCTTCTGAAAGTCCTACTTTCTCTGTACTTGTGCAACAGTGTGCCGTGGTTGTGACACTCTGAAGGGGAACCTTACCGAGTTCTTTTCCCTGATGCTGGTGGGCTCCCAGTCATTGCTTAGTAAACCGATGCAGTTGTTTAAAATGATAGCACAATTTGAGAACAAATAGTGTTAATTAGTGAAAGGCATAGTTTTGAAGCAGTGCACACTCTTAACATGGATCTTTCTTCCCTGGCTCTCAGTGCTCAAGCACATGCCTCTTCTGTGTGAATAGCACCAAGAGTTCAAGCCCTGGTGCCCCACAAATAGAATAAAATAAAACTATAGTTTTCCCTTTCCGCCTTTCTCTTTCGCAGATAAACCTGAGAACTGGGACGTGTGGTACGAGAGTAAATTTGATGACTGTGACAAGGAGGCTTGCCTGTCGTTCTCAAAAGAGATTCTTTGCGCCCGTGCCACCGTGGACCACAATTACTACGCGGTTTGCCAGAACCTCCTGTCCAGGCATGCCACCTGGCGCGGCACCTCCGGAGGACTCCTTCACGACCCACCCAGTGAAATTGCCAAAGACGGCCGGCTGGAGGCCTTGCTGGATGAGTGTGCCAACCCAAAGAAGCGCTATGGCCGGTTCCAGGCCGCGAAAGAACTGCGGGAGTATCTAGCACAATTAAGTAACAATGTGAGGTAGTCGATGTACATGGCGGTTCTTTTTCTCCACCTCAGTAGCACTGGCCACCAAAAACCATCTGGAGAAGGAAGTGGGAATGTCTGATGCGCAGAGGATGGCACACCCGCACTGATGCAGCTCACGTCACCGTCATCCACGTCGGACGTTTGTTCCTTCAGGACTCACGCCATGCTTCTGCAAATAAGTTTGGTCGCACACTCTGGAGACTTGAGTTGTCATCGACTGCTTCTTCCTCCCCCCCCCCCACCCCAATGCCTGAGTGGATTCATGGATATTGTGAAGCTATTGGAAATGAGTCTGATAGTTCCGTTGGCCTGTGTATCAAAGGGTACTTGGTACTTCGTTTGCGTTTCTATCATGATTTTGTGAATCTCTTGCATTTACTTTGAGTGGCAAGTTAGATCGGCCTGTTTTATAGGCTTCTTTTTCCTCCTGATATGTAGGGTATTTTTCCCCCCTCATTTTTATGTTTTCTGTTACATTTTACATGTTTGGGTTACTCTAGCTCATTTAGGTGTTCGTAGTCATTCAGTGCTGTGCGCTCCGCACTGACTGTTGCTGTTACATTGTGGGGCAGGACTCCCAGGTTTATTGTTGCTTTTTAGAAAGTGGAATATTTTATTATGTAAATACTTTTTTCTTCCCACCCTCTGGTTTTACCATTCATCGCATGAGGTCATGTAGGGTTATTTACCAGTTACATCTCGCTAGGCCAATATTAGTGTACACTAAACAGGAAATTTGGCATATGTTGCAAAATACCATTTTGTCCTTTAAAATACTTGAAGATTATGCTAGCAAATTAAACCACGATGTTAATTTTGACTGAGAAAAAAAAAGTGTTTTTTTAAATGCTAACTAGTCCAAGATAGTAATGCATATTCCAAAGAAATATTAGATCTAGTCCCATGGTTAAAATTTAAAATTGCTCACCTGTTTGTTCTTGCAATCCTATTTCTAGTACTTTAACCCCTCATTGTGAAATTCAAATCTCCCTTATGTTGAAAAGCTATAGCTCTTAAGTATTTGTAGCTTAAGGGTATTCAACCTTTCATTCATTGGGAGCTTTGAAAAATTAATTTGGTGGTCAGGTTTAATTGGACAACATAATATTTTATTTAATAATGAACTAGAAGTTTCTGTTGCAAAGCAGACAGTTTGGCCAAACAGCCCAAGTTGGTCTTCATTACCTAATTGTTAAACATTACATTTGAGTCTGTGATGAAAATTAACAAACAGAATTGGTGGGCTCTTTTTACAGTCTGTTACAACATGTTCATGTTAGTTGACTATCAGTGACATGGGTGATGTTTTTCCATTTGAAGTTACTAATTTTCTTTATAGCAGGTTTTTGTATGTGTGCAGTATCTATTTCTAGACTGATCTTATTCTTATAAATCAGAAAGTGATTAAAATATATGCACAACCAAAGTCACGTTTTTCTTCTTCATTCATTCAGCCACTATTTATTGAGTACCAGTTTTTTTAGCCAGGTACATTCCTTGCTGCTCACCTGTCTGAACATTACATGTGGGTTAATAACTGCAGTGCTTTTCAGATGCTTCAATGTAGATATTTCTTAAGTTCAAATAGCGTTCATTAAATTAGTATGCTCTCATGCTATTTTACTGTTGGGATAAAAGTTCCATGTATACCATCTATAGCTCATTTGCTGCAAAAAGAGCAGGATGACATCAGTAATTAATCCAAGTTTTAAAACGGAAGGAGTAGGGAAAGAGCTCTGTGTTACTAAATAGATTGCATTTATGTTCATTTGTATACATCAATAGATTACATACACATCAATCAATCCTTTAAAAAAATACAGTTAAGTGCTGGAAATTTACCAAGCTGAGTTTGTACAACTTTGGAAAAATTTTGAGGGGAAAAGAGAAAATCACTCATCAGATATTCACTTCTTTCTCAACTGTCAGATAAAATACTGATCTTCAAAGAGGAGCACCTTTTATATTTGATAAGTATTCATTATAGACCTTAGCGTGGCCACTCACACAGGGCTTGTCCTCCAGTGGCTCAGCCAACATTTATCTCGCTTTCAGGAAGAGTGATGGTGACTTTGGAACAGGAGTTCAGAGAATACAGCCAGCGGTGGTGGCTACTTGTGGTGGTTTTTTTTTATAACTACCACTTCCCCCTTGAGATTATGTGGATCTTCATTTATCTTTGGAAAGTTGGAGAAGATAGTAAAAGAGTTAAGGGTTTAAAATTACAGGGAAAAATATGTATGTGAAAAGCAATAAATATTTTGTTCATTTTGCTATCAAGATGTTCACTATCAGATATTTATTATACAGCAGCAATTTATATTTTTAATCATTGCCCATTAATAGACGCAGTAAAATATTTTTGAATCAGACATTTGAAATTTGTATGTGCATTAAAATTGTCTTTTGTACTGTAAGTTACTGTTTAATTTGAATATTTTACCAGAACTGTCTCCCTGTGCCTTTATTAATATAAAGTTGTTTATACAACTTTTAATGATCTTAATAAAGAGTACTTTAAGAACCACACTTTCCAGACTCTCCTGACTTAATATTCAAATATATTTGAGTAAAAAGGAAGGTTGTATAGATATATATTTTTCCCTCTTGCAGATATTTTCATAAAGTTTTTAGAAACTACTGGTTGGTGTGAATTAAACTAAGGGCTAGTGTGTTTTCTGTTTTAATTCTTCCAGTAGTCAGTGGTTTACTTTTTACTGTTAAAAACTTCATTAGGGAATTTGTCAAACTGCACAACTGCGTTTTATTGAACATAGTATGATCTTACTGGTATGATACTTGTAAGTGTGATGTTACTTCAGTTGAGTATCACGAGTTTCATTTGTCCCCAATCTACGCTTACTTCAGTTGTTTAGAGCAAAGCTGAAGAAACCCTTTCAGATGTACACAGCATCATCTTCCCCCAAACCATACCATTTTACAACTAAAATATTCACTTGATCCCCCGTTATTCATTGATTTACTCGAGCGGGTGCCAGTAACGTCTCCATTCATCCCTGTTGCGTGCTAGTGTAGCCCAATGGCATCTGTTCGTTCTAGGAACATGCAGAGCCTCAAACCAATCGTTCATGATCTTGATGAAGTCTGACCATCTGGTAGGTGGGCGTCCACGCGATCTTTTGATGTCCCGTGGAATCCAGTCAGTAATGGCTCTAGTCCTTCGGTCGTCTGTAAACCTCACTATGTGTCCAGCCCATCTGATTTTTGATGCCTTGGCAAATGAGACAGCGTCCCTGATTATAACTAAAATTATAACTAAAATATTATTACCACAGTATTGTCAAAGCAGACAATTTCTCAAATACAGAGAGGGACAAGGGGAGCATGCCAGAGAGAGATGAATCATCTGGTATAGAAGGTCCTGAAGGTGACCTAGGTGACCTAGGTGATGCTTGGTTACCTGGGTGACTGAGGCCTTGCTGGATTCCACCCGGGAAGAGTTTTATCAGCATCCTCTCTTGCTGATTAATTGGGGGGCCCAAATTCTTAACATAATAAAAATAGGCTGACCCACCCACCTTTGTTAAAAAAAGTATGAAAGGGGGAGGCGGGGGCTGGAGTGATCACACAGCGGGTAAGGCGTTTGCCTTGCACGCGACGGGCCCTGGTTTGATTCCCAGCATCCCATATGGTCCCTCGAGCAAGGCCAGGAGTAGTTCCTGAGTGCATGAGCTAGGAGTGACTCCTGTGCATCACTGGGTGTGTCCCAGAAACCAAAAAAGAAAAGGTGGAGGCGGTCTTCCATCTTCCTCTAGAATCCTTAGACGACTGCTCCCATAATCTGGGAGCTTCCCTACCTTTAAAGAAAGGTTCCTTTCCCCTTCCCCAAGGCCTTTTCTGACTTCGACTGTTCTGTTTCATTTTCCTCGCTTTCAGCCTTCACTGATTGAGGACAGCCCCAGAGTCTGTGCTGGCTACTGTAATAACGGATACTTTTTTTTTTCTCCTTAACTCAATAACTTGGGGGTGGGGTGAGGATGTGTGTGAAGGGGGGAAGCTTTGGCCCTGCTTTCCCTTGGGCAAATCCAACAATGAGGGGAAGGATTTGTATTATTAAGTCTATTAAGTATTCTTCCACTTAATAACTTAAGAGTGTCTTGTGGTTACTACCGCCATTTTGCAGTTCCTAATGAATCAACAGATTTGCAGTGATCATCAGTGGCTCCCAAATCTATTCATTGAAAAGCTGATGAGGAATTTGTGTGGACCGATCCACATAGCCTCATGAACACCATCATCCATCTCGCTCTTTCTAGTGCTACTCAAAAATGTCCGGTACTTCCTAGGTGGCCAAAATAACTCAGAACAGGGCAGTTGATTGGCTAAGAGACTTGGTTTTGTTGAACAATTTGCAAGGAAAAGAAGGGGCAGGACCCTTGACAATAAAAATGATTAAGAAGCTTGTCAGTACATGAAAATGTCACCTTTGTATCTTAGTTTGAAAGAATGAGTTAAAAGCCTTGAAACAGTGACATAATGGAATGGTAAAAATGAATGAAGACCTTGTGCCATGAGTACCTCATCTTGGCTTGCACCTGTTTTAATGTGTGACAACTATAAAAGTTCTTACTCTGTACTAAATCGTATATTTATTCCATAGTGTCTAATTTGGGGGTATCAACATTTTGGTTCCTTTTCTTTAGAAAAGTTTCTGGTCACAAAAAACAGCTAGGTACTTTATGTTCCCCAGATGAATGCAATCTTTCTATGTCTATCCCTTTCTTTCTGAGTCATTTCGCTTAACATGATACTTTCCACGTAGTACCACCTGTATGTAAATTTCATGACTTTGTCTTTTCTAACAGCTACATAGTACTCCATTGTGTAAATGTACCAAATGGGTACATGCTGAAAGTAGACTATAGACCAAACATGATTGCCACCCATTGCCTCTTTTGCAAACCACAACACCCAATAGGAGAGAGAGAACAAAAGGGAATGCCCTGCCACAGAGGCAGGGGGGGATAGGGGGGATGGGGGTTGGGAGGGATACTGAGATCCGTGGTGGTGGGAAATGGGCACTGGTGGAGGGATGGGTACTTGATCATTGTATTATTGAAACCCAAGCACAAAAATTTGTAAGTCTACAGCTGTACCTCATGATGTCTCACTAATAAAAACAAAAACCAGCTAGGTACAGACACGGGACTCCACACTTAATGGAATTATCTCTATTTTTTTTTCACTACTATATCATATTGCAGCTTTCAGGAACCCAAAGGCATATAATGGGGGGCAAGATCATAGAAATAAAACTGAAAAAGACATATTTTCTCAATTCTCATCAATTGGGTGGGGACCTGAGAAGGAGAGGAAGCTTGTAAAATGTCAAAAGAGTGAAAAGGAAGAGGCCTGGCTTGCATACGTGAGGTATTGCTTCCATCCTTGGAGCAGCCTAGAAAAATGGAGGGCTCGCATAACTCTGCAGTTACACAGATCACTGGTTTTCAGCAGCCAGTCCTGCAGAATAACGGCTGCCTAACACATTGGTAGCCCCGGACAGTGTAGCGATTTTTTCTCAGACTGGTGGTTAAACAGCGCTGACTCAGCTGCTATTCCCATCATGAGTATTAGAAAGTTGCGTCTCTAGAGACTTGACTCAGCGCCTAATTATTCCTACCACCTTTATCCCACAAATACGGTTGTTGAACCCAAAGGCTGTGCCTCTAACTCCTAAGAACACAGGAATATAAGAAAGAGTTCCTTAGGACTGGAAAGATGGCATAGGGTGACAGCCTTTGCTTGGCGTGCAGCTGACCATGGTTCCACCCTGACCCTGATTTGATCCCCAAGCCTTTGGGAGGTGCTCCTGAGGTGTGGGCCAATATTATCACCTCGTCCCCCCCACCCCCCACCCCACCCAAAAGACCTTGAGGAGACAGATGACTGAATGTTAGGTCAATGTTTATTTGACAGGACGTCACAATTTCTTGTTTATTTTAGCTTTCCTTTGTGTGCATATCTCAGCTATCTAAGAATATGGGAAAGGGTCATCCATTGCCATTGATATCACAAATTGACATTTCTTGACTTAGGCTCCTAGATGAAACCAGGACTGGCTAAGTAACAATGATGTTTTTAGTATTTCAGTTAATCCTGGACAAAATCACTGGCCCTCCATTTCCTTTAAGTGGTCTCACTTCTTTTCCTGTTTTTTTTTTTTCTTTCTGTACTAAAATTTGTCAGTTCATGGTTGTAGTTTCTTGTCATGTATCTTTTTTTTTTTTAACTGTGCAAATCTTTTGTTTATTCTTTGGTATTCTGTTCTTAGATTTTATTGACTTTTTTAAGATCACCTACCATGGTCTTCATTTCCTGTCATTTCTGACTCTAGTTTTTTCAACTCTCTTAGTTTTTTGTGCTTTATTCCTTGTGCTATTGTTACTGTGAACTCATTGAACATCCTCATTATACTTGAAATAGCTTAAGTACTTTTCAGGTGGACTTTAGAATAAATAGTACTGTGTGGGTGGGGAGGAAATAGTGAATAAAAGACAATCGGTCCCGATAATTTTTAAAGAATTTTAATTTTTTTCCAATAAGATGGTTTTTGTTTTTTTTTTTAATTAAGACACCATGATTTATAAAGTTGTTCATAATAAAGTTGTTTTAGGCATACAATGTCCCACCATCAATCCCACCACCAATGTCCCCTTCCTTCCCCACGTTTCCTGCCAAACCCAGCCTATCTTCTTGGCACACGTAACATTTATTTCAGATTACTTACTCCAACAAAACTTTAATGGCAAATAGAATTATCAAAAAATAAGTCAATAAAAGTCAATTTGTAGTGATTGAATACTATATGGTTGTAACATGTGTAAATAAATTCAAATCATTTAATGCAGTATGTTATACTGCCTATTCTCATTTGCATAACTAAGTTTTCAAGTCTGGCATTTAAAATATATTGCATTAAATTTTATTTTGTACTTGGATCTCACTGCAGGAATCATCAGCCCTTCCCTGTCATAAATGAAGCTTGATTTCCTACCCCCCCCCCACCCTTGGTAGGCATAACAAATTTATTTTATATTATTGGTCAAAAAAAAATAGAATGGCAAACAGAATTATCAGAAATAAAGCATTAAGTGTCAATTTGTGATGATCAACTGTCATATGATTTTAACCTCTCTTAATCTAGTAGAGGACAACCGTATGCACCATTGGTGAGTGCCGTTCCCAATGCCACGTGATGGGACCTTTCTCCTGTCCTTTAAAGAACGCTTTTAAGGCTTCTTGAAGAAACTGGTGTCATGACTATGAATTCCCTAAACTGTTGCCTGTCCATAAAGCTCTGTGTGGTTCCTTCAAATCTGATTGATAATCTAGCTGGATGGAGCATTCTTGGTGAGGTGTTCACTTCGTTGAGTTTTTGTACTATGTCCTTCCATATTCTGGCTTGTAGAGTCACCATTGATAAATCTGCTGTAATTTTTCCATCTGTTTTCCACTTTCTGCTGTTTCCTAGCAGTTACCTCCTCATCATGGAACTCCCCAATCTTTTG